AACAAAAATACGAACAATCATATAGTAGCTTCCTTTTGCAAACATGATTAAGGGAGGCCCTGGTGGTCATTACAAGAGATCTTGGGTGCCCAAGAGAGCGATTGACTCACAAAATGAGTCTGTGCTAGTCACTTGATGTCCTTGTGCCTCTGGAAAAAAGTTAATAGATACATAGCGGAATATGTTAGGCTTCACATTGTCAACCAGCTGTCCTAAGTAATGAACTTTAGAAATGTAAACCTTGCATGAGATCAGTTAGGAGGGGAAAACATATCCCATATTTTAGGGAATGCCTTTTCACATGCAAACTTCCTCCTACATTTTTGTCTTCAAAAGTGGCCCTGCTTAAAGAAAAAGGTTCTGCTTCAGATACCTTGGACTACTAACTGAGGTTTAAAAAGTGGCTAAGAGAAGCAAGGCCTTCCCAATGCCCCCCCCCCTTGTGGAATTTGCTACCTAGGTAAGCCCACCCAGACTCCTTCGAAAGACTGATAAAAACTGCAACGCCTAGTCAGCTAGTTAGCTATACTGATTAAAATATTCTGATAGACTAAGAAGTGTCCCCCATTAACTGGGCGACAAATGTTAACGTTTTAATAACCATTTTAATGCAGTGATCTGGATGACAGTTTCCATTGCAGAAGAGTTACGTTCTCCTATGCGAGAAAAGAGGGAGTCCCTCTTCTAAAATGATACTGCCGAGTACTAGAGTACCATCTACACTCTTGAAGATGGTTCAGAGATTGCAGCTAGTGCATAACACAGCAGTCACAGTGTCTTGGTGGACCTGATGGACCTGAAATTACATAACATTTATTCTCAGACACTTGCATTGGCTGCCTACTTGCTACTGAGCACAATTTAAGATTTTGGTTCTGACATACAAAGCCCTGGATGGTTTGGAGCCATCACCGCAAGGAGTGCCACTCCCAGTGTTGTCCATTCGCACAACTTGAGGTCTCATTTGCACATTCTTGCAGATTTAGGCTGCAATCCTCTACTCATTTACTTGGGGCTTACTTCTGAGTAAACATATATAGGACCGCACTACCAAGCAGTCCACTAAGACATAACATGCTTATTTTCCTCAAGCCTCTGGTGGAAAACTGGATGCTGATTCATTGTTCTGGAATTTAGCTGTCGCTAAATGGCCTTATTGTTGTTTACTTTTGTTATTTAAATTAATAGTTTAATTTTTAATGTGTCTTCAGGTGTCTTGAGGGGGGCTTCCATATCTGAAAGGCAGGATGTGAATCAAATAAACAGTACTTTTTTATATAAAAAAACCCCTTATTGTAGGAAGATCATGATATTAGGTAGGGGGAATGGGAGTTCATGTTTTGTGTCCCAGCAATGACGACTGTTTTAATCTGTGTTCTCTGCAGCCCCAACACACAGATGGGACCAAGAAATGTTTAGCATGAATAGCAGATTGAAGACCCGCAGGCCCCCCAACTACCTTTAGCCTTTCAGGAATGGGAAGAGGAGAGATGAACACAGGGCACAAATCCTCCCCAGCACAAAGCAATGCTCAGCTCCCACTCACTTCACTAGCTTTCTATAATATCCAGTCTTGCTACTCCCACCACCCTGCCCTCATGCCTTTGGTTTGAAGAAAAATGCCTCTTGAAGATATTCCCTACATTTGGCGCCTACACCAGGTGTGACCGCCTGCTCCATTCCTAACACACCTCAAATTCCAACGGACGTCAGGGGAGAGTTTGGGATATGCAAGAGAGGAAGGGCTGGGTCCTGCCATGGCAACTCTGTCTCTTAAAATAGCTCTAATGGGTCTTGCAAATCCATAGCAACCAGCACGAAGCCTAACAGGGACATGTGGTATCAGAGTTCCAACGGCAGCTACCGCCGTGTTCTACGCTGACAAAATGACCTCCTCTTGGGCTGCTGCCCAGGAAGGTTTCAAAAATGTTCCAGTACTCCCTTTAACTTTGGTTGCCGGACCCCACACCAAAACAAGGCTGGGGGCTTTATATCACAAACAGGTAGTTCAGATCTGATTTTGCTGTGCCCACAACTGTCCACACATTCCCTTTTTCTGGACTTGGATATGTTGTTAAATAATCTTGTTGTATATGGTATTGAAATATGGGTTTTGTATATTATTGTATTTTTGTTTCGCTATGTTATGATGAAATAGTTTTTGTAGTGTTTGCTTGAAATGCATCCCTGTCTCTTTGTTGAGAGCTACTTTGGGCATGCACAAAGCTATTTTGATACCTGTGCACGTGAATTTCCCCCCAAGGTAGTATGCAAAAGCGTAATGAAAACATGTGCCCTTTGCAAGACAGGTAGGTATCAATTTCAACCTGATTTTGTTTTGCTTTGTTCTTAGCACAGATGTCCTGCACAAGAGTAATATTCAGCTACAGCAAACTACTCTTTGCAGGATCGGGGGTGATGGCAATATCCCAAACATTTAGGAATGCTCCACAGGCCACCATAAGAGTTAAAACTTCAACCATGATTCCCCACCACCACCCAAAAAATACAGCAGCAATAAAATACCAAATTATGATAATGAGGTCTTGCACAAGACATCCGTACTAAAAATTAAAAGAGAAAAGTCCAACATTTGCACCACAATTACAGTCTCCAGCATAATCGCCCCCAACTGAGTGTATGGGGATCTTCAGAGAACTGTTCCAAAGTAGGCATGCATTCAGCATGCAGTGATAAATGAAAATGGGTATTGGGGGCTACCACAAAGAAAGCAGCTAGGTGGTGCTCAGGTATGGAGCAAACAGAAACAGAGGAGTTGCAATAGAGACCACCCACTGAAACATCACCACACCATGTGACAAACTTCCCACCACACCCCATCAGTGACTGAAGATGTATAATGGGGTATTTTTATGTGTTGGGTTTTCTGTGGTAAAGGGAAGTTAAGATTAAATGTCTCAGGCAAAGAAACCAAGGTGCATATCGCAAGAGACTGGCTTGGCAGGACAATACCTTCAACACCACAGGTGCAATATTTCAGTCGGACACTGAACATGAGCCTAATAAATATTATTCTTTGTTTATGCTTGTGCAGTTGTAGGAATATATGACTCTTCAGGTCCCTCTAGTACTGTATTCTTTTTTCAACAGTGGCAGTCAGCTATCTCTGGGAAGCCCATAATCAGAGTAGGAAGGTCATGGTACCCTCCCCATTTTTTGTCCCACTCTGTCTTGAACACAACAGTCATTACGAGAGGGGAAGGTTTGCCCCACTTCACTCCTGGGGGAAGGAAAAAGACGCCGCAAAGAGGATCTGATGCATCAAGACACAGCTGCAGAATGGGAATCTTTAGAAAATGTCTCAGGCACAGCAGCCCCTCAGGCAGAAGCCACAAGTTTAAGAGCCTCAAACACAAACACACCTTGGACAGGTTACCTATTGCAGATTACGAGAAACGACAACACTACAAACATTTGGTTGAATCTCAGGTCAAAGCGATTGTGAGGGATTAGTCCATTTTAACAGATTACCCCCCTGACACTTCCTGCTCTCTTCATCCTAAACAAAATGATCCTTTCTTTGCCTGGCTTGGCTTGCTCTGTGTTTCAAAAATAAGGTGAATGTCCTCTCTCTTCCTACAAGCAAATATGAAGCCTCATGGAAAGTGAAGAACCAGATTCCTTCAAAAACCTACACTTAACATCCTTGCCAGTCCCGATCAGGCAAAAAAACAAAAACTAGCCCATGTCCTGTTTGCTTTCAGTCATTGCAGTCAGATCCATCAAACTAAAAAACGGGGACATGCAAGTCCTCTCCCGCTCTACAGCAAGTTTCATGTTTTCAGATACAACAAATTCTAGTTAAAGAAAACAACCCCTTTCTCATCCCCTTCAAACACACACACACACACACACACACACACACACACAATCCAACACACCCAAGTCATAAATTTGTTAGTCTTTAAGGCACTGCAAGATTCTGCAGTTCCCTTGCAATGAACACAACTATTTTCTCACTATGGGGAGAAGAACAGCTGGGTAGACAAATCACAGAAAAAGAAAGGGTTTGGAGCTCTTCCCCTCCATTGGTCCTCTGCTCCAAATCAGAGAACCGCTCATCACTTGGCAGTTTTGGCCCTGGCCTGCTTCAAACTTGACTAAATTACACTTCAGTTTAAAACCTTCCCTTCCCTTTCTTCTTCTCAGGTAACACAGCTAAAATTTGTTCTGTTCCTCAGCCAAAGCTGTACCCCTCAATTTAGGACTTTATCTTTAGCACTTTCATACTTAGCTTTAGACTATGTTTAAACACAGACTTAGCAGCTACAGCAGAGCTGAGAAAATAGACAAAATAGTCAAGACACGTATGTTATCCAGACTTTCTACTCCACAGAGAGATGGGACTAAACGATCCTATAAATGACAACTCGGAGGCTATTGTGCTCAAAAAAGCTTTCTTCCAGGCAAGTGGGTTGCAGTATTGGTCCACAGAAGAACAACATTCAGCCCTCCAACTGCCAACTAATTCAGCTTCATTCTGCTAACCTAATACATTTTCTAAAATTATTTTCCAGCTTTGTTGGACCACCATACGTCTTTCCTTATTTCTGTGCTCAGCCTTACATGCATGAATTCCACTAGAGAGAGATTCAGATTCTTGTTCACTTTCATGTTGCCAAAGGAAAAAAACAACCACCTTCGTCTGCTTCTCTTCTTGGTGAAGCCCAAGATCTTTTGCACACAGCACAGTTCTAACCTGTTTAGCTGGCAAGAGTGTCCTCCATTTACCAATTTAAGGCTAGGCTTAAAACAAAATGCCTTCACCCAGAGACCCCTCACCAGCCTCCTCCCTGGTTTTATTTATTCACTATATCCAGCCTGAAAGAGAGTTTTGTGTCATTCAAAAAGACGATGCACTGCTTTGTGAAACAGAGTTTGGTCCTGACAAAGGCAGCATTTAAAAACCACTGTACGCTTTGCGCTGTACGCCTGCCAGATTAAGACTGATTGGATAAATTATGAAGAAAGAAGCTCACCTGCTCCTGGGAATTCATGACACGCAGCTTCATCTGCTTCAGGTAGGTGGAGGTGAGGGGCATGTTGTAGTCAATGATGCCAGAGACCAGAGAGGAAGGAGGTTCATTTTCTGTAAATAAACAGAAAGGAGGAGGGGTGTCATTTGGAAGTTAGAAGGCCAAACAACATCTGCCCACCTTTTCCCCAAACTAAGACCCAAACAAGACCCAGTGAGTGCACCAATGCACGCATTTCCTGCTCCTATATAAAAAGAAGGGGAGTGGGGTGATTAGGTCTATTTGTTGCAATGAAAGGTGCACAAGGGGAGCTGAATGCTTCCAAGCCTAATGAGTAACTGTAGAGAGTATATGCTCAGGAATCAAGAGTGGACTTTAGGAGCAGAAGTGGGCTCAGCTGTGCAATACCAGCGTCTCTGACTGGTAGGGAGTATGAAGCTTCTGGATTGGCCAGGCTTATTATAGACAACAGGAGTCTGATCCTCCTCCCTTGTACTTTATGCCTGATGCTCTTCAGGCCATGCTTGCTGGGTCTGATGGGAGTTGTAGTTCAGCAACACCTGGAGGGCCAAAGGTTACCTATTCCCAACAGAGAGGGTTAAGTTTTGCGTCTACCTGCAATTCCATGGGGTTTTTCCCCAATAGATTCATGTAATCAGAGTTAGCCCATGTCCTTTGTGAAAGTTGATCAAGTATAATCTAATCCATCTCTCCTTCATAGGTGACGAGGCTGCCTCCATCACCACCCTCTCCCTGCACAGAGAGAATGAAGCTTTGAAACAAAAGGGCCATTTGTTTTCCCTGCCCCTCCTGGCAAAGCAGCAAAAGGCTTGCATATGAAGGATTAAAGAAAAAAGAAAAAAGTTTGGCTTGTGTAGATTATTTTTAAGGGCACCTATTGTGAAGGAACAACAAAAGAGTCTTCTGGCACCTAGGCGCTTCGTTGTTTTTGCTGCAACAGGCTAACATGGTTACCCTTCTGGATATTGTGGAACAGGCACTATTGACAAGGACCTTCATTCATACTGTGCAGGATACAATCCATGTAGCCCCCATCTGGCCGTAACCTCTGCAGCCAAATTCTCAGTGCAAAGCGGGGAGGAAGCAGAGCAAGGACGCAATGCTTGCTCAGAGCCAAGGAGCACACTGGAAAAAATATATCACAAAGCAGAAGGCCATTGTATTTAGCAGATTAACAAGGGGCACGTTTCAAAATCAACTGCAAATTGTTTTCATGAACCTGGCAAATGCCAGACTGCTGTTGGCAGGTGAGCATTCAGCACAAATATTCTTCTTCAGAATTTGCAGCCTTCAAAATCTTAACATCTGAGTCAGCCCTTCAAATAAGAGTCAACTTGGGAATGAAAAAAGATGCAGAGGAAAAACTAAGAGAGCTTGTTGTCAAGGCCACTTTTGCTTTCACAATGGCTCTTAAGGAAAATTGGCTACTGACCAAGGCCTCAGAAAATCCTGATATCTAAGACTTCAATATTATTAGCCATGAACACTTTCTATAGCACTTTCAGTTTCCAAAAGCCTTTACAAGCTTTATTTGCTTTTGTTTTGCAGCACCCCTGTGCCATGTAGTTTTTATGGCTCTCCTGGTGGCTTTAGAGATCAATGTCCACAGGATCCTTCTGGATCAGCTCTGTAGGCTAGGAGTCAGAGGCATGGTATTATGAGGATTCCTTCCACTCCACTCAGGTCTGTTAGCAGTAGGCAACTTTTGCTAAGCCCCTTGGGTTTTAAGGCACAGAGTGCCACAGGATTCCCTCCTGAAGATGCTGCTGGAAGCATTTCACCTAGGGATCTGAGGCATGGTATCATCAGTATGCTGGCTATTTAATTGCCACTGGACCCAATTAAATAAATTGACTCTGGCATTCATAAACACCCTAGGTCCCAAATACTTGGAATAGTATCTCCTCCATATCTGACAGTCTGAGCCTTATGATCTGCCCAGAAGGCCCTTTCCATTGTTCCAGCAATTACAATACTTCATTACATGGTGATCCACGGAGGAACCCAATATGGAACTCTCTCCCTGTGGCAAAACGGCTGTCCCCTTTATCGATTACATTTGCCAACAGCTGAAGACACACAACTTTAGGCAGGCACTTTGGGGAGCATATGCATAGTTAAGGAGCAGCGGCTGATTGGTTTCATCCTTTTACTTATTGGTTTACATGTACTTATGACACATTTTAAGGGACGCGGGTGGCGCTGTGGGTTAAACCACAGAGCCTAGGACTTGCCAATCAGGTCGGCGGTTCGAATCCCCGTGACGGATGAGCTCCCATTGCTTGGTCCCTGCTCCTGCCAACCTAGCAGTTCGAAAGCACGTCAAAGTGCAAGTAGATAAATAGGCACCGCTCCAGCGGGAAGGTAAACAGTGTTTCCGTGCGCTGCTCTGGTTCGCCAGAAGCGGCTTAAGTCATGCTGGCCGCATGACCCGGAAGCTGTACGCCGGCTCCCTCGGCCAATAAAGCGAGATGAGCGCCACAACCCCAGAGTCGGACATGACTGGACCTAATGGTCAAGGGTCCCTTTACCTTTACCTATGACACATTTTATGTGGTGCCGAAAACCATCCTATGGAACCAAGGATGAGTTTAAAATATAACAAACAAACAAAAATAACTACTCCCATTTCACAGGTAGGAAACTGAGGTTGAAAAGTTGTAACATGCCCAAGATGACTGTGTGAACCCATGCTAACGTTGAACCTAAGCTTTCTAACTCTTGAAAATGGAAATGAAAATAAATAATGCAGTCAGGTGTGTTTTCAACTGACCTCCTGATTATTATGGGTTTTATGGGAGGGAGAATCAAATGTTCAAACTTGCCTCTAGATTATAATTTTAATTGTGCCTGGCTAGGGAGCAGGGATCACCAATATTTCCGATAGCAGCCTCCACAAAAGTAGTTCTGATCGACCCTCATGCTACACATTTTTTATGGGTAGGCCTTTGTATGTGCTAAAAAAGTTTTAAGTTCTGTGCCTAGGACGCCCAAACAGGATATTGCAACTGGTGCACAAATGATGCAAACTGAGTTTCTGCACGCTTTTATTCTGCAGCTTTTACTATTTTCATATTTTCCATTCTGGTTTAGCTAGCCTCGGGGAGAGGCCACCGGGAGTTCTGCAAGGTGCCCCTCCCCCCCCACCTCTCCCCCCCCCCATGGCCCTGGCTTCTGAGGTTTCAGCCCACACAATTCCAAGCACCTGTTCACAGGCACCACGGCTCAGATCCTGCTCCTTTCCCCCTACCCTGAGAGCCGAAGTTCTCTGCTAGCTGAATTCTGTGCCTAATACCTGCAAGATCATTGCTAAGCTAAGAGGAGAATGAGGCTCACAGTGCAATCTAAACCCAAGACCCACCGGGGATGAACGAGATTGGATCTGGTGGATCTTGGGCTTTCCAATCTGAGCCAAAGCTCAGTCCCACACCCTGGTTCAAGCAGGGGCACAGCCAAAGAAACTTACACCTGCGTAAGTTCCTGAGTTTGGGGTATTGTGGGGGGAAGGCAAGGAGAGTCACCTGCTCCAGTCATGTGACCAAGTGCCTGATCCTCAAAACTCAAGCCCCACCCCTTCCAGATTAGATGACAGTAGCCCCTCCCATTGGTTCCTCAACAGAATGTAGAATAGGGGTCACTTACGCTGGTGTAAGCTATACCAGCTTCCCATGTGAAGGATTGCTCTGTAAAAAATATTCAGCCAGCTTCATGAAGCCAAAGGGCAATGAACAGAAGGCCACTTAGTCTTCCTTGGCCAGTGTTGCCCATTTAAGCTGCTATGGCTAAAGTCTCTCGGTGATTACAAACACAGAAGCATGCAGAAAAGGTCTTAGGAGATGTATTCCACACTAAAGGATTGGAAAAGTGAAACCAACAGATGGGATACCCCAATGCATAGGGCAGGGATTCCCAGACTGTGGCCCATGCACTTCCAGTGGTCTGCAAGCTTCATTTAGATGGTCCATGGCATTACTGATTTTTTAATTGTATTTTTATTGCTTCTTTTCTTTCTTATATTGCATTTTATTGTAGAACAATTTGAATTCTATGGAACGCAAATCGTAATACAATAAAACACAATGTAAGAAAGAAAAGAAGCAATAAGAATACAATAAAAAATAACACATAATCTAGAACAGTGCAATACTACTGCTTCAAGAGGCAAACAAATCATGAAGTGATCCACCAAGACCATCAGCGATTTTCAAGTGGTCCATCGACTAAGAAGTTTGGAAATCACTGGTATGCAGCCTGTAGCTGCTTTGGATCAAGTCAGACTATTGATGAACCAGTGGTTCATCTAACCCAGTACTGTCAATAATAATAATGATAATTTTTTTTCTTTATACGGCACCCAGCTGGCTGGGTTGCCCCAGCCACTCTGAGTGGCTTCCAGCAATACTGACTGGCAGCAGCTCTACAGGGTTTCAAGGAGGGAACCTTACCAGTCCTACCTTTGGGCTCCACCCCATTGGAATTGAAATGCATCCTTTTCTGGCACTCAGTGCAGCTCATCAGGAACCTGGTCACAGCTTCTCTTGGAAGGAAGGCGTAAGTTTCAGCAATCTGGAGGAGAAACAAGAAGATGACATCGGTCCATATCCTGGATAAGTCAGCCCCACAGGAGCATATTTTGCTTTGCTGTTTTAGTGCAGGTTCAATGTACAGAAAATGTCAATTTATTTGTTATTTACCGTAATTTTCCGCTCTATAGGACACACTTTTTCCCCTCCAAAAATTAAGGGGAAATGTGTGTGCGTCCTATGGGGCGAATGCAGGCTCCTTGGCTTCAGCGATAGCAACGCGAAGCCTCCAAAGTGCAGAAGGAGCGCTCCCTCCGCGCTCCGGAGGCTACGTGTTGCTTTTGCTGAAGCCTGGAGCCTTCGGAGCGCAGCGGGACCTTGTGCTGCGCTCCAAAGGCTTCGGGTTCCTTTTGCTGAAGCCAGGAGAGCAAGACTCTCCCAGCTTCAGCAGAGAGGGAGAGCTGTGCGGCGCCCCTTCAGCCCAGCGGGAGGAGAAATGGAAGGGGCTCCGTTTCTCCTGCCGCTTCGCTGAAGGGGCGCTGAGCAGAGAGGGGGAGATCTTTTTTTTCTTGTTCTCCCCCTCTAAAACAAGGTGCGTCCTCTAGAGCGAAAAATACGGTATTTAAGAAATGTATATTCTGCTTTTCACTATATGTCTCAGAGCGACTTACAGGGAGGAGTAAAACACGTAGAAACTAGCCAACTGTACAAAGGTAAAAATTATACTTGTCCCCCCCCTTTTTTTTTTTTTTGCATCTGGCCCCATCCACCTCTGGGAGGTGGCCTCCAGAAGGTTACCCTGGAAGGGAAAGTGGCCCTTGAGCTGGAAAGGGTTCCCCATCCCTGGTTAGACAGTTCCCCTTAAAGTTTACCAAATTCTGCTTCCCTGCTTTCTGTTAGTTCTACTCCTGCCCCCCGAGAGCAACAGAGAACAAGTCTGCTCCTTCTTCTGCATGACAGCCCTTCAAATATTTGAAGACAGCTATCATGTCACCCCCTCAATCCTCTCTTCTCCAGGCTAAAGAGAAGAAGCACTCACTGATCTATTTCCTAAGGCAGTTCCCAGGGAGCTCTGTCACTGGGGAGGAAAATGAACATTCCCAGCTTTACCTAACAAAGACATTTTAGGTAGGTGCAGGAGATAGGCTTGATGATGCTGAGTGTCCTTCCAGAACTAATATTATTTCGTTCCTGGTCCCTCCCAGGCCCATGAGATGAGGTGAGACAGTCGCCTTAGGCAGTAGATCTGGACTTGGAGAGGACACCACTTATCCCTGCCATGTCCCTGCCTCCATGAGCAAGCCATGGCACTGTCAACAGGCACGCACTCACCGCTGCCTCCTTTGCCATGGGCAGCCCCACTGCTGCTACGGGTGTCCCCCACTGCAACTGTGGGTTTCTCTGGTCCCTCCAGCAAAACCCAGCCATATTCCAGAGCCTGGCCTTCACTGACTGAGAAAACAGAAAGCTCCTTCGCTTCAGTGCCCAGCTGTACAGCACCATGCACACTGCTGGTGTGATATAAATGCAAGATGCTGGCTTCAGCCTTTAAAGCGCCAAATGGCCTTAGATCAAGGTATCTGCAGAACCACCTCCCCCAGTATGATCCTGCCTGAGAACCCCATTCCACCCCAAAGGCCCTCTTCCATGGCTACTTCATTTCTGGGGTGTGGTGAGAGGACCTTCTCAGCTGCAGCCCCCAGCCTTTGGAACAGCCTCTGGCAGGACAGGGCGGTGTCACTGCCCACAAATTTCCAGCATGCTTTTAGACAATCTCTGTTTACATTTTCATTGTTACTGTTTGAATAATATACTGTTCTATTTGTAATTCTGTCATGAGCTGCCTTGAGTACAGTTTCTGTAGAAATGCAAAATATAATATAATCTGTGCTTATATTTTGGAAAGTTGTTCACTGCACATTTGACCACCTCTTAAGCTATCATGATCAAATTTCGCATGATGATTCCTGAGATCAAGGACCATGTTTTCATCTATGTCTGGTTACAGTTGGTTATCATTTTGAATCAAGATGCAAAACGGCGCTTACTTTAACCAACTGGTTTCAAACCTGTCCTTATTTTGGGAGGTTCTTAGAATTCTCAAGCAACACCAGGTACAACACTGCCTGTAAATGGTAAGTGTGGAAGCCATAGCAGCTGTGACAGCAAGAGGTTGTACCAAGACCCAATGGCTCTCTGTTCTTTAGCCACTTTTGCAAACAATACTTTTGTAAGATCCCCTTCAGGGTGCAGGTCTCCAATTGCCACTTCCCAAATACCCAGCACTTCTTCAGGCCCAATATCTGCAACTGCTTAGAAAGTCTCAGAACAGGGGAACCAGTTCAAATTTATTTATTTCTCTCATCATTTCAACCTACTCACCCTTCCAAGAACAATCCATTATTCTCCCTACCAAGGTTATGGCTAACAATGACAGCATGGTTTCTGCAGGGAACTGATAACACTTTAACAAATATTAACAACAGGCAGGGTTGTTTGCACTCTACCCAAAAAAACACAAAGCCAGCACAAACAAACCTCAATAAGGAAATCCTAATTTTGTGAGAAAGAAGCAAAGAAGTCCATGCTCAAAATAAAATTGACATATTTTCAAATGCCCCTCTGCCAACATGATATTTAGAATATGAAATTCTGAAAAATTCTAGCTGGCTTCCATTATTTCTGTGATGGCATCTGAAGAATGTTAACGCTTTATTTTGTATTTTTGTAAACTATTTAGAGGGCTTTTAAAAAAAATCAAGATGTAAATAAACTTAGATAGATAGATGATAGATGATAGATAGATAGATAGATGACAGATGATAGATAGATAAGACTGACATTTCCAGGGCCCAAATCTATGCTAGGTTTTGTGCAGTTAAATGTCTGAAGAACTATAGAAGAACAAGCATCACATCAGCAACAGTTCGAACATGCTGATTTAAAAAATGGCAGCACCTTAGTCATTCCCAGGACCTACACCCAAGCACTTTGTGATACTCTTACCATAGCTTTTCATGAAAGACTGGAGAGCAGGTTTTGAGCATGAGCATGCTCAAAGTCTTGACTGCAAAAAAAAGTAGCTTCGCGGAAGCTGCTCGATTGGCCAGAGGCTGTTCTGTGTCATTCCTGTTCTTTCTGCATTTGGTCCATTGTAATATTTCCAAAACTGATTAACTATGGTTGTGGCAAGAGTGCCAGGCTTAGTCTAACCTCCAGTGCCAGCACAAAGCCCTGAAAACAGACATCTTCGGCTTCTGTTGCTATTGTTATAGAATATATTTATCATCAGTAAGTAATTCACAACTCTTCCAATGCTCACAGGAATCATATAAGATTCCTGATGCTTCCATCTATCCCCTTTTTACAGGTAGAGAAGAGTGACCAAAGGGGCAGCAACTTGCACCCAGGGCCATTAAGCAAAGTCATGACTGAACTGAACTGGGGGCATGGAGGAAGCTGCCTTATACTGCCTCTGTGGAGCCCAGTATTGTCTCCTCTGACTCACTGGGAGCAGTTCTCCAGTGCATCAAACAAGGTGGCATTTCCCAATCCCACTACCTGAGCTCTTTTCAACCTACGGAGTCTGAACTTGAGACCCTGGATGCTCAAGGCATGTGCTCTACAAGACTGAGCTCTGGCCCTTCCCAGGCACACTCACTGTGGGGTTAGAAAAGCCTTTTCAGTTTCCCCCTCCTGATTCCCTGCCAAAGTGGCCTCATTGTGCTGCTGCGAATGCCAGCGAGTCCCATGACAGAAGCGTGGGGCATTTCGTGTCTCAGCAGCAAACCAAGGTTTTAGCACATTTGAAAACACAGAACCGCATGAACTGTCTGAGATCACGTTCTGGAAAAGAGATCAGCAATGTCAAGAACAAAGCCTTGGAAGAAGTGTTTCTTTGTCTGGTTTCACAAACAAAAGCGTAAGAGATCAGGCCAAGGATCCGTTTAGTCCAGGACTAGTTCCAGGAATGGAATAGGCCACCAGATGCCCCGTGAAACGTAAGGGCAGAGCAAAACAGAAATAGTCACCCCCTTCTTGCCTGCCCTCAGCATCTGATAGTCAGGTGTACACTGCCTCTGAACATGGAGGCTTCATTTAGCCCTCACAACTAATGGTTATTTACCACCCTTGCCACTCCACCAATTTGTCTTAAAGGCCACCTCAGACAGAGGCCACCTCCACTTCTGAGGGTAATCAATTCCACATCTGTGGTGTGCCAGTCCTAAACTTACTGCCAATCAATTTCCATCCATTGTTGCTTAAAAGAGGCTTAAGTCCAGGAGTGGAATTCAACATCACGCTCTTCCAGTCGTTTCATCTGCGCAAGCATGGCAGCCTGCCAGGCGGAACGGCACCTCCTCTCTTCCCCCTGTAAACTGTTCTGTGGGTTCTCATGACTGCCACCCCCCAAGCCAATCTCAAGGGGCACATGGAAAAGGAGCCCTGTTGCGCAAGTCGCTGAGCTTCCATTTCCACTGACAGGGCTAGTTAAGCGAATCCTGCCCTGTGCCAGTATTCCCTGTTTCTGCACAACAGCATCATGCATTAGGCATGTTGACATAATTTATTTATTGCACTTATACACCTTTCTGACAAGGCACCCAAGGTGGCTTGCAATTTTAAAATATCAACACAAATAATGATGTAAAATGTAAAGTTGGCCCGAACATTGCCGTACTCTGACACCCTGGTTCTAAATATATTTACTCGGCTTCCTGATTGTTGTTATGTTTGTTTGTTTTTTTACTTTTACTGTTTGCCGCCCAGGAGACATTGCTAATTGTACAGCATACAAACAATGTAAATAAATAAGTATGCTTCACATGTTAAGGCAGCTTCAAAAATCATATTCAAGTATGCTTCATATTTTCAAGCCAGGTAATAGGGAAGAAAGATTTTACTTTAGGAAGGGTCTACACGTTCTGGCACCTTCAGCTAAAAGGTTCTCAGGTATAAAGGAAAACCTGAAGAGCTGCTGTCAGGCAAAGGAGAGAACACTGGCCTAAACACACCATTGGTCTCACTCTTTGTCTCACTGTA